CCCCCTCCTCCTCCCCCTCCTCCTCCTCCTCCTCCTCCTTCTCTCGGGGATGGACAGACCTCCCTTTAGCAAAACGTGGCTGAGTGAAAACGACCTCGGGCCCAAAGCTGGCGGGCGCAGCCCTGGAATAGGACGGCTGCGGCGCCCCCTCGAGAACCGAAAAACGAGCAGTTCACGGATCGACGCGTCGGGGTTCTGTCCGCCCCCGAAGTTCGGCCTGGCAGAGGCGATGACCTGGCAACTGGCCCACCGATGCGCTCCAGGCAGTTGGGCCTGGGCTGTTGCGGCACCAGCGGCCCTCGGGGGACCACCAGGGCGCGCGGATCGGAGCTTCGTGAGCGCACGCTTCGCACGCTTCGCGACCACGCCCGCTGCAGGGGGCGCCCCGCCACGCTCCGGCCCCGTGGCAACGCCACGACTCGCCCTGGCGCCGTCCGGGAGTGGCCAGGGGCAGCAGGGTCCTGGACTGACTACCTACCAGACCACCCCAACCCAACCCGAAGACCCGAATTTCGGGTTGGGGGGGGTACGGGTTCCATACGTGTTTTTTCGATGTTCCCCGACCCCCCCCAACTGGAAATGGAGGGCAAATTGAGGCCTTCGGGTTGGGTTGGGGTGCTTTGGTGGGTGGTGATGGACTGCGTCGGCACGAATCGCATCGGGGGCATCCAGGAGGGGGGCGTCCAAGATGTGGAGGGGGCCTCGCAGATCACGGCCCGAGGCACGTGCGCGGCCCAGGGGGGGGGGCAAGGGACGCACGGAAACAAGAAGAGGGGACATGCAATCCGCATAAGAGTCTCGGCCATGATCTCTCCCCCCTTACTCTTGGACGCTCCCAATCATAACATTACCGGCCCCCTCCCACTGCCTCCCCCCGCAGCTATCTTCGAGGCCCCCACACGGCGTGGTGACAGACCGCGTGGTGATCTCGGAATCCCCAACGACTTCACCGCGCGGTCCGTCACCGCATGGTTTTGGGACCCTGGAGGCCCCGGTCGCCCGAAGCCGTGCGGTAAACCCCGAATCCCCACGGACTCACCACGCGGCGTCGGTCATCGCACCGTTTGGGCCCCCCCCAACTTGTCGTACGGCGGCAACTCACTCATTACCTCCCATACCATCTTACTCACTCTTGCATATCGACGCTGATCGATGTACGCTAAGCGACGCTAAATCGACCTAAATCGTGGTCACCGACGCCAATCGACGCTAACTCGGAGCTATCGCATTGACTACCGAAAGCCAGTCGACGCTACATCACTCTAAAGACAGAATTCCGATGGTCTACAAGGCTCCCATGATTCGTCACCGACCCATCGCGAGAGGATACAAAACACGGGCTGCACTTCGACCACGAAACACTTCCGCTGAGGAAGGGGAGGGTAACAGGGGATATGTCGACCCCTATCCCAGGCTTCGTGGGGTCTTCGAATGGACAAAGAATTTCGGGCCACCCTGGGACGTACGATGGGGGGCATCCATTCTCGATAGGGGTTGCGGCGTCCGAAATAGCCCCCTTGAGGGTGTGTCCCAGAGTTACCCTCCTTTTCTGAACGCTTGGTGGCAACCCATGTCATGAGAGCCTCCCGTGCCATCTTGTCGGCTCTTGCCAAAGCTAGTCAACGCTTGCGAATCGACGCTAACCGATGCTAAATCGGTGCTAGCCCATCGACTCCCAAACGCTAATCGACATGCCCATTCACGCTGAAGACGGAAACAAAAGGGGTATGCCAGGCTCACATGCTTTGCTACCGAATGAGCGGCTTTGTTTTTCTAACCAGACTCGAACCTATCCCTACCCCTAAGTTCAGCAAGGAAAGCACGATGACAATCTTAGGGATGTGCCATGAGAAACTGGGGAAATCCTTGAGATCGGCATCGAGGTAAGGTGATGCCAAACGAGGGGATAAAGATATGCTTCAAACTGGTAACTGTCGTCGGAAAGTGGGGGCTGGGGGAGAAACATCGCCTGCGAAGGGGCCGACGCCAGCAGAGCCCCGCGCAGGCACCCATCGGAGGCCCTCCGGGAGCGCCCGCCTCCTCGAGGCGCTCCCCGAAGGGCCCACCGCGGGCTCTCGGAGGCTCCCCCAAGGTGCCGCTCGGAGGCATCCTTGGAGGCCAACCGGAAGCTCCTCGCGAGCGGCGCAGGCATCCTGATGGGCAACTTTTCCACCACCCCTACTGTGTGTAGGACGGGGGGAAAGGGAGGATAAGGAGTTCCTCCTCCTCCTCCTCCTCGTCTTCGTCCTCCTCCTCCTCCTCCTCCTCCTCCTCCTCCTCCTCCTCCTCCTCCTCCTCCTCCTCCTCCTCCTCCCTCTCCTACCTACGGTAGCGCTGGTGGAAAATGGGCCCATCATATCCGTGTCCGCGCCCTCGCGGTCTGCGGGTCTTCTCGCGTGACCCCTGGGCTCCCCCGCATCTTGTCGCGTAACTTGTTCGGGCCCAGAGGGCCTCAGGGCGGACCGAGTGAGCCCCAAGAGGCCCGAACACGGTCCAAGAGAACCCCGAATCGCTGAACGATCGCTCCAGGACGCCCACGATGGCCCCCAGACGGCCCAAGAGGCCTCCGAGGGCCCCAAGACGGCCCCAAAGGGCCCCAAGACGGCCCAAGAGGCACCAAGAAAGCTCAAGGCAGCCCCAAGACGGCCCCAAAAGGGGCCCAAGAGAGGAAACACGAACCGAAAGTCCGAGCCTTCCGCCCGAAGAGGCCCCCAGGAGGCCACCGGCGGCGTCAAGGAGGTCCCAAGATGCCCTCAAGAGGCCCCCAGGAGGCCCCCAAGAGGCCCCCAAAACGCTACAAAAAAGCCCGAACGGGCACCAAAATGGCCCCCAGGAGGCCCCGAGAGGCCTCCCGCGAGATCCCAACGAACATCCAATGGACTTCATACTCACAACCCAGGCACGGTGGCGGTTTCGGAACTCTGGGCGGAGTCCTGGGAACGGCGCCAGACCCCCTCCCTCTGGCGCCAGGGAGGATCCAACGCGCCAGGGAAGGTGTCCAGCGCGAATCCGAGAAATCCGCTCGGAGCTCCACAAGTTATGCTTATGCAGTTGCGGGTTCGAATGTATCACGAGCAACTAGGTGGCGACATCAGACACCTACCCCCACCAGCAAGCGGTTCTCATGCATCGATGGGAGGCGGGGGGTAGGGCTCGGAGTTCGCCACGTATTCGACGGATTCCGAACCCTACCCCCGCAGCCCTTCGAGTTGCCTGACCGCGACTATAAAAGAAGAAAGAAACTGCATAAACATTAACTGCTGGCGCTCCGCGAAGATTTCCTGGATCTGCGCTGGACCCCCCTCCCTGGAGCGCGGAGCGCGCCAGTGACGACGCCGGAGGCGCCGCCAGGGGGCCCCAGCACAGGTGCAAGAAATCCGCGGAGCGCCCAACGTTCATGTTGATGCCGTGTTGTTATTCTTCGATACTGGGCGGTCAGGGCTCGGAAGTCGCATCCCAAGCTTGAGCAGGGACCGACCGCCCCGGCATTCCTATAGGCCTACCACGAAATGTTCTTCGAACCCCCAAAAATGTTCTAACACTTAACACAGACTTCTTAGAACCTAAACACGATGTGTTAAAACAAGCACGTCCCCGTCAGAAATGTTCTCAAGCCACAAAAGGTGATTTAAGCATTGCTTGCTGGGCCTAGAGGCACGCCAGGACGCTTCGCCACTGCTCGACGAGCAGCACCACCCCGGGTGGCCTTCATCTCCAGCGTCTCCCGGATGCTCCCGCGCAGGCGGCGCAGCTCGGTCTCGCCGATGCCGCCGAGGCTCCAGAAGCTCGCGGCGAGCCTCGTGGGCCGAACGGCTGTGCCCACCCGCCTCGCTGCACGCACTCGTGCGAGCGACGAAAAGAAGCGGCGCTGGCGATGCTGATGATGCTGATGATGACGATGCTGATGATGCTGATGATGCTGATGCTGCTGCTGATGATGATGCTGGTGCTGGTGCTGGTGGGTGCTGATGATGATGCTGAGGCTGATGGTGATGATGATGATGTTGATGATGCTGTTGATGATGATGCTGGTGCTGATGCTGGTGCTGATGCTGATGATGATGCTGATGCTGATGGTGGTGATGATGATGCTGATGCTGATGCTGATGGTGATGATGATGATGCTGGTGATTATGATGGTGATTATGATGATGATCATCAGCAGCAGCATGATCAGCAGCAGCATCATCATCATCATCAGCATCATCATCATCAGCATCATCATCAGCATCAGCATCAGCATCAGCATCATCAGCAGCATCATCATCAGCAGCATCATCACGCGTGATGGCACGGCGGCCTGACGCCTCGGCCTGCGCGGCAGCCAGCGCGACACCCCGCGCGGAGAGGAGGACGCCTGCGCGCGCCCCCGCGCGGGAAGCCCACGCCCGAAGGTCAGCGCGGCCGACCCCGTGTTCGTCGCCTCGGCCTGCGCGGCAGCCGGCGCGACACCCCGCGCGGAGAGGCGGACGCCTGCGCGCGCCCCCGCGCGGGAAGCCCACGCCCGAAGGTCGGCGCGGCCGACCCCGTGTTCTTCCGCCGCTCGTCGGATCCTCCTCCTTCTCCTCCTCCTCCTCCTCCTCCTCCTCCTCCTCCTCCTCCTCCCCCTCCTCCTCTCCTCCTCCTCGTCGCCCTCTGCGTCCTCCGAGTCGTGTTCTACCCCGAGAACGGGAGCACGAAGGATCACCAAAACTCGGAGGGCACGAGACGACTCCGTGCGCCTGATCACGAGGCGACAGCGCGGCTCTGAAGACGCGAGCGCCGGAGCAGCCTCACGGAGTGGCAGGACGACCCGCGATGATACACGAGTGATGGGCGCAGGAGTGATGCCTCATGTTCGGGGATGCTTCGACAATCCACAATACCAAGCTGCTGAATTGTGCTGCCATCGCGCAAGAGAAGACAATACGGCGCCTTGTCGGGTCGCCGCCGCACGCAAGACGGGCGTCAAGCGGCTTGGACCTCAGCGTCCCAACTCCGAGGGCGTGATCCGCCGACGACTAGCGGGCACAGCGCAGTCGCCCTCGTTTCCAACGCGCCATCACTTGCACAAGTAGGACTACGTGTGGTTCACGCGCCGAGCTCGGTCGCACTGCAGTCTAGGCGTGCTTCTCTGCCAGCCATTGGCAATACTGCAGTGAAAGAGGGGAAAGTCAGATGAAAGAGTGGAGGGGAAGAAAGAGAGAGAATTGAATGGCCTTTTCGCGTGAGATGTCTATCGCAACGCCATGGCCCCGAAAAACACAATTATTTGGGAGATGCCCTGGAAACAAATTCATCGACGCGGAAGCCCCCACACGTCCCGTCGGTAAGTGCCCGAATGAGAGAAACTGCGCGCTCCGTTCCCAGGCGGCCCCCCCCCCGGGAGTGCCCGACTGCTCTGCCTGCTGCATCGCCACGTTCTTGGGGCTCTGCAAGGACAGGGACCCTCGCGGTGATCATGGGGCCCCCAACATTGAGGGGTGAAGAAACGACCCTACCCTGGGTACCAAGTGTGTGGTCTGTAAACCTCCTGGGAACCCCCAAAGCCTAGAACCGCCAGGACGCGGCACATCACGCAGGGTTTACCCTGTCAGCCCACAGGAGTTTCCGCGCACAACGCCTCGTAAACCAGGGCAGGGGCGTTTTTTTATGCCCTTAACAACAGAGAGGAGCCCGGGTGGCAGAACTGCAAGCTGCCTGAGAGGTCCCCACAATCTGGGCGCGCACGGGCCATTTGAAGGGGCCCCAGGACACACAAATAAATACACACAAATAAAAATATTCCCCATATTTTCATATATTTTCTGGGTTCTTGTCTTCCCCCCCCACTTCCCATATTTTCCTATATGTTCTAAGGAATCGACGATTAATTGTGTCTGTGTGTTTTTTTCCCTCCTGACCATTGTTCCCCTCCCTGGCGGCTCCTGCTCAGGGTGCCAAAGCTCGACGGCTGCCACTTCGCGGCGCACATGGGACATTTGAAAAAGAGAGGAGCCATGAAGGGGCCCACAAACACATATATAAATACACACAAATGAAAAGATTCCCCATATTTTCACATATAATAAAAAGATTCCCCATATTTTCACATATTTTGTGGGTTTTTGTCTTCCCCCCCGATCCCCATATTTTCCAATATTTTCCTGGGGATCGACGATTAATTGTGTCTGTGTGTTTCTTCCCCTCCTGAAGCCAGGAGGGGCAAAGACAAGCAAACCGCATGAGACCTCCCCGCAATCTGAGCGGGCATACCCTTCTGGCAGCCCACCCTTGGGGTGCCCGGTGCCCGTCGCGGAGATCATGAGGCAAAACGGGCAAACCGCCTCAGGCATCTCAACAATCTGGGCGCGAACGGGCGACTGTCATGCCCCCTGGCGGCCCCCCCTTGGGGTGCCAAAAAGCCACGCCTGCTATGTGGCAGTGATCATACTGCGAGTATGAATGTCGTACTGTGCGAAGTATGTGTGCATGAGTTTGGGTATGACTTGGCTGGGTATGAGTAGATACTAGCCCGCCGCTCTGCGGTTGATCGGGCGCTTACTGCATATAGAAGAAAGAGCGTGCGCTTGTGGGCGAGAGGTAACTAAGCGAGAAGCGGTGGTGCGGCGGGTGAGGATCAGAAGGGTGAGGATCATGAGGGCGAGGCTCGCGAGGGGGAGGATCAGGAGAGTGAGGGTCACGCGGGTGAGGATCAGGCGAGCGTGGAGCATAAAGGTGAGGATGTGGAGACTGAGGGTCAGGAGAGCGAGGATGGGGAGAATGAAGATCAGCAGGGTGAGGATCGAGCGAGTGGAGCAGGAAATGGGAGATCAGCAAAGTGAGCATCACGAGGAGCGAGTGAGCATCAGCGAGTGAAGATCGGCAGAGTGAGCAGCACGAGGAGAGCGAGGATCAGGATAATGATAATGAGCATGAGGGGGGTACGTGGGGATCAGGATCCCCCCTGGAGGTCATCCCTCCTCCTCCTCCTCCGCTTCCTCCTCCTCCTCCTCTTCAGCATCACCATCCACATTCTCTCCTTCTCCTCCGAAATCTTCCCTCCTCCGTCCTCCTCTGCCTTCCGTCATGCTCATCCTTCTCCTCGTCGTGCTCGTCCTCGTGCTCGTCATCGTCCTAGTGTCCTCGTACTCCTCCTCCTCCTCCTCCTCCTCCTCCGTCCTCATCCTCCTCCCCCTCCTGCTCCTCCTCCTCTTTCTCCTCTTCCTCCTGCCTCTGCTCCTGCTCCTCCTCCTCCTCCTCCTCCTCCTCCTCCACCTCCTCCTCCTCCTCCTCCTCCTCCTGCTCCTGCTCCCCCATTCCTTTTCCTTACAAATAGCTTCTCCGTATCGCACCTCGAGGCCAGTTGTTCGGGCGGGCCCGGCGTTTCGCCTGAGACCTCCTCAACATTTAGGACTTTGAAACATAAAAATTGGCAACATATTCACAGATGGAGGGCGGGTCGTCTTCAAAATGTGGCTCTGGCCTTAGTGCGGCGCACATTCGTTTCAAATATTTGCAATATATTCACGGCTTGAGGGCGTGTGGTTTTCAAGATGTGGCTCTCGCCTTCGCGCGGCGCGCATTCGCTTTAAATGTTTGCAAGAGTTCCAAGGATTGAAGGAGGGTGGTGTTCAAAATGTAACTCTCGCCTTCGCGCGGCGAACATTCGTCTTTAAAATTTGCAAGCGCTTCACGGATTGAGGGCGGGTGGTTTTCAAAATGTGGCTCTCGCCTTCGCGCGGTGCAAACTCATCTTAAAAATTGTAAGCGCTTCACGGCTTGAGGGCGGGTGGTTTTCCAAATGTGGCCCTCGCCTTCGCACGGCGCACATTCATTTACAAATTTGCCAGACCTTCACGGATTGAGGGCGAGTGGTCTTCATCATGTGGCTCTCGCCTTCGCGCAAGAACGTCACTGATTGTGAGCGGGATCTTTTCAAAATGTGGCTCTCGCCTTAGCGCGTTTGAAAACTTGCAAGAGTTTCTCGGATTCCCATCATCAACGTGCCAGAATTGTGTTTGAAAGGACTCAGGATTATGCGAGTGCAGCAATTATGTTGACTCGCCGTGTTGAAGTTCCAGGAATGGCTTTCTGGTACGATTCAGGATTGTCAAGACGCAACAGTCAGGTTGATGCGTGGCGCTGGAACCCCGAGAACAATGTTTTGGCATGCTTCAGGGTCTTCAAACGGTTGTCTTCCAAAGAGACAGGTCTTCAATGGAAATGAACCTCTGTGGGGGCCAGTGAAGAGGGAGGGTTTATTCCAACATCGTTGATGACTCTTGGGCTTACACTGGTCCTACTCCTCCTCCTCCTCCTCCTCCTCCTCCTCCTCCTCCTCCTCCTCCTCCTCCTCCTCCTCCTCGGGCGGTTTTTGCGAGGATGTCTCAGGCGAGAGCGCCGGACTGGAACACGCCCAGCGTGCCCAGTGCATGCCAGGAAAACTGGAAGCCTGGGGGCACGCTGGGGACGGAGCGACTTTTGCGAGGATGTCTCCGGCGAGAGCGCTGGTTTGGGACACGCCCAGTGCGCCAGGCGCGCCCGGTGCATCCTCGGACATGGTCCCTGGAGGCGCGCCGGGGGCAGTGGGAGATGTTTGTTCGCGAGGATTTCTCGAGCGAGGACGCCGGATTGGGACACGCCCGGCGCGAACAGACCCCTGGGGGCGCGCCGGGGGCTCGCGGGGCGACCTGGCAAAGGTGTCTCTAGCGAGGGCGCCAGATTGGGGCACACGCGGCGCGCTGGGGGCCCGTGGGGCGATGTTGCAGAGCTGTCTCTAGCGAGGGCGCCGGAAATGAGCCCCAGGGACGCGCTGAGGGCCCGCGGGGCGATTTTTGAAAGGATGTCTCGAGCGAGGGCGCCGGATTGGGACACGCCTGGGCCTGGGGCCGCACTGGGGGCCCGCGAGGCGATTTTGTCGCGGACGTCTCGAACGAGAGCGCCAGATTCGGACACGCCTGGCGCGCTGCATGGGGGCGCGCTGGAGGCCCGTGGGCACACTTTTGCAAAGATGTCTCGAGCGAGAGTGCAGGACTGGAACACTGGGCGCGCCCGGCGCGCGAGGTGCCCGTAGAAGATTTTTGCGAGGATGTCCCTCTAGCGAGGGCGCCGGATGGGGACACGCCCGCGGGCCGCGCGGCGCTTTCAGCGCGCCCAGTGCATCCCGGGACACGTTCCCTGGCCGTGGGGCGATTCTTGCGAGGAGGTCTCGGGCGAGAGCTCCAGCTTGGAACACCTGCGCGCCCGGTGCAACCCCGGACATGGGCCCTGGTGACGCACTGGGGGCCCGCGAGGCGATGTTTGTTAGGATGTCTCAAGCGAGAGCGCCAGTTTGAGACACGCTGGGGGCGCCCCGCGCAACACCAGAAATGATCCCCGCGGAAGTCTCGAGAGCGCCGGTTTGGGGCACGCCCTGCGCGCTGGCGCATCTTCGGAAAGGCGCCCTGGGGGCGCGCCAGGGGCCTGTGGGGCGATTTTTGCAAGGGTGTCTCGAGCGAGGGCGCCGGACTGGAACACGCCAGGCGCGCCCTGTGCATACCCAGAACTGACCCCTGGGGGCGCGCCGGGGGCCCACGGGGCGATTCTGCAAAAATGTTTTTAACGAGGGCGCCGGATTGGGACACGCGCGGTGCGGCCGGCGCGATCCCCAGAAATGGGCCCTGGAGGCGGCGCGCCGTGGAGCAGGATGGCGTGAGTTCCATAGAAACTCCCTCAAGTGAGCGGGAGCGCTCTGCGTATGAGCGAGTCTGCGTATGAGCAAGTCTGAGCATCAGTGGTTCTGAATGCGAGTGAGTCTAAGTATCAGTGGATCTGAGTGTGACTGAGTCTGGGTAAGAGTGATCGGAGTCTGAGTACGAAGAAGGAGGCGGGAAGGAAGGAGGGAGGTGGAGGCGCCCCAGTCATGTTCATGACCCCCGACGAGGGTACGGGGAAAAGTGTTGGATAATTTGACACCCTACTAATGTGATGCGCAGTGATCTGAGTTGCGTGTGTACAACAATTCGGCTAAACGCGTAAACAAACGACTGCGATCAACTGCCTGGCACACCTGCATATGGTATAACACAATGTGCCCCGATGATGGTACAAGCATGCTTGACCAACGCAGATGGTTAACTTCTGTGGCGCATTCACTAACACAAGGGTGCTGAGACACGCCTTTTTAATACAGTTACTGAACGTCAGATGAGGGAGCCGAACGTGACTGGATGCGTGGCTGAGGTGCGGCTCCGCGGCGCGGACACATGTTCACATTGCCGCCCCCTCCCTGCGACTCAAGCGCGACCCGCCCCACGATCCACACCAGACCCGCCACGCGAACCACCTGCGGCCCGCCTCGCGACCCACTCCCAATCCACCCAGCGACCCACCCGCGACCCGCTGCGCGATTTGCCCGCCGAAAGTCCATCCGCGACGCACTCACAACTATGCTTTGACAATAACTCTGGGCCCGTGTTGCAAACAAGGGCGCCTGAGTCGGGCTTCTTTACGCTTGCTTCCGAACATCGCAATCTGCCGACAAGCCCATGCCCTCTTGGACTCATCCGCAACTGCGGAGGCTCTGGCATTCGCGAGCACGTCGGTGACTGAATGATTTGTCACGCCCCGTGCCGTTGATCCAGTCCTTCGTAAACAACGTCATGCTCCAAACGTTCTTGCTCATTTGCTTCAACCTGATCGGTTTGCATGAATCAGGGAGTGCGTGTGACAAGTGTCGCAAATACGATGAAAAAGACCTCGAGATAATCCCAGATGCCCCAAGACGGCCCCAGCAGCCCCCACTAATTCCCCGAGACAGCCCAAGAGAGCCCTCAGACGGCCCAAGAGGCGCCCAAGACGGCCAAAGAGGTCCCAAAGAGAGATGGGGAAGGCAAAGGGGCCTCGGGAGTCTATCCCTCCAAGATAGCACCCAAGACCACGAACATGCCCCCAAGAGCCCCCCAGGCGCGCCCAAGAGGACCCCAGAAGGCCCCCAAGAGGCATTCGAGAGGCATCACTCAAGTGGCATCCCAATACAGTCCGCCACTGTGCCCCACAACCCAGACACAGTGGCGGGATGGGCTGGAGGCCACGACACCTACGTCTATATATGTAGATGCACGTACATGCATTTATATATAGATAGAGAGAGATGTATGTATGTATAGAGGGAGATCAGAAGTACAGAAGTATGTACATTGTGCTGTATTAGTGGTTTTCTCTCTCTCTCTCTCTCTCTACTCTGTACTCCACAGAAATCGGCGGCAGCCCTTCGCCAAATCCTCTCTGTACCCAGAACCCAGAACACCAAAATTGGGAACACAGAAATCCAGCCGCCTGGCGCAAAAAACGGGCGAACTTCGCCAAAGCAATACAACTTCCGCGAGGATCCCTTCAGTGAAAGCAGTGATTGGGGTCTCTCTTCTCCCCTTTCGCCACAACTCTCAGAATCTGAGCACCAGGCCGTCGATCACAGGCGGCAAGTCTAAGGTCTGGACGCAGCAAAGAACCTCCTGTACAGGCTCGGCCACCTCCCCATCTCCCCTCCTTCATGTTCTACCCCATCCTCCTATTCCTGCTCCATCTCCTCGTCCTCCCCATCCGCCTCGCCACACCACCACAATCATGTTCGGTCTACTGCTTCGCTCCTGCTCGGCACCTTTCTCTCCTCATTATCCTCATAGCCCTCCTCATCCTCCTCTTCCCTCTTCCCCTGCCAAGCACCGTGATCCGACAGGCACGTGTGCCTCAGCATGCCAGGCGGATGTATCGGCCACCGAAGGTTGCAGCGCAAAGGGCGGCGTGCAAATGTTCGCGCGCAGAGGAGCGCGACGAAAGAGAGCCCACCAGCCCTCTGGGCGGAGGTGGTCTGGGGAGTTTCCTCTTCCAACTCCCTCCTTCCCCCCCAGGGCGGGCGAAACCTCCATCCTCACCCTGAGTCTAGAAGGGGGGGGGGCGGCGACCCATTACAGAGTCCAAGATGGCCCAAGATGGCTCAAAGTGAACCCCAGAGAGCGCGAGATGGCCACCAGGATGGCTCAAACTTGTTCCCAGGGTGCTCCCAAAGGCCCGAAGGCCGCTCCAAATGGCCACGCCTTCTTTTGGCTTCGGCGTCGTCCGTCTGGATGAACGCGCCGGGGGATCGCCACGGCAGGATTCGCCAGGACTCGGAGCTTCCAAGTGGCCACGGAGCTTCTAAGGACACCCCCGAGAGGCCAAACTTATCCCGAAACAACGACGGAATTAGTGTTGTGTGCATTCTCGCCTTTTCGGATCCGATGCACCTTCGTAGCCCCAAGATATCTCCAATATGGCCAAAGAGGGCTCCAAGAGGAGCTCAGAAGAATCCCAAGCCGCAAGGGCGCTCACGAGCGCCTGGATGGTTCCAAGATACGACCTTGGGGTTTCAAGAGGGACAACCCTTGTTAAGAGCATCCCCATTCCATCGCTCAAAGCCAATAAAGATCAAAACCACGCATTAGTTTGCTCGAAAGGTTGGGAGGCTGTTGGGCCAACCTGGCTCCAACATGACCTCAGAGAGCCCTAGGTGTCCCCCAGGATGCCTCAACATACCCCAGGACGGCTCAAGATGACAACCATTATGCCTCCACGAGGCCCCAAGGCGCACCCAAGAGATCCGAGAAGACACGGGGTTCAAGGAGGCACCCAAAAGGCCACACATTCTCCAGAACCCGAGACAAACCAATGAGTTGTGTCTTCCCGAGCGTTCGCTTCACATGATGACTCCAATATGGCCCAAGAGGGGCCCGAGAGAAGGCAAACATGGCAAAATGGCCCAAGGCGGCCAAAGAGAGCTCAAAAACGCCTTGAAAAAAAAGGCCACAACGAGTAGACGTTCGGGGCTTCAGAGGGTCAGCCGTCGTGAAAAAGCCCACCCCCCCATTGTTGATCGATGTCCTCTCCACGATGGCCCCAAGAGGCCCCTGGGACCGCAAGAGGGCCCCAAGAAGGCTCCAAGGGGGCCCCTATCAGGGCCCCATAGTCTTCCAAAGTGGCCCAGACAGTGCTCCAAGATGGCCCAGGGCAGAGGCCACGAGGCTCCCCTATCGGAAGGTCCGCGAGTGCATATATAGTTGATTCCTGGGCTGGCTCAGGCGGACCCATTTCTTCAGCTTGACCGCTGCCCCCCGGCCCAACTTTCAGCCACCATGTGTTCCCGCACATCCCTGATTAAGGCGACACGCCTGGGCAGCGTTGCTGGAGGCTGGAGGGGCTAGTGAGGATATTTCTTTGATCGCGACCGCGGCGAGAAGATCGGGCGGCGTCAAGGGGCGAAGCACAGAGGCGACGGCCTAAATTATCGCACGAGAAGAGGAAAGCGACAAGAGACAAAATAACAAGAGCGGACAAAATGCTAGTGAGGATACGTTTTTTGATCGGCGGCTCACAAGGACAGATCCAAGAAGCGGGACGGACTCGGCTGGGGCACAGGGCGAGATAATTAGCTGCTGAGGCGCATAGGCCGCGGCAGCGGGTGCACGGGCCAAGGACGAAATGACCCTCATTAGGACGCTTGCGGCCCGAAATCGGGGAACGCAAGCACCGAACTGGAAACGGACGGATGGAATGGAGCAGTCGCGCAAGTGGCGCCAAGCTCTGACCGTACCGAACAGCGCGTAAGGGCGTGGAGCACGCCGCGCTGTGGCGGCACGGACTGGCCGGGGTGGCCGCACCGTCCATGAAACTAAGAGGAGGCCAAGGAACAGGAGAGGCACGGCGGGCGCAAGGGCACGCGGCGGCAGGAGAAGGGGGCACAGATGGAGACCTCACTCACAAGGACTCATAGGATGCTCTTGGGCATGAGAGCGACCCGTCCTAGTCAAGGAACCGGCGGCCATGTCTTCTGAGTCCACAGCCTGCAACTTGCCTGACACTGAAACCCGGGAGAGTAAAGCTGCAAGCATTGGTCGAGTCCCCTGGACCACCCTGCGGGAGGGCCGTGATGAACTGCCAAAGGATAAACCACTTGCGCAGTAGCGAGAAGGCGACGCCCACCGTGGGAACCCAGTCGTCGACGTCGTCGGCGTACAACGCGAGCAGCTGATCCGTCTCAGGGGACGGGGGCACAAAGTCGCGAGCGTCAACCGAGGTGGGGGGACGGACCTGCCGGGGGATCCGCGGTGACCTGCCAAAGGATGAACCACTTGCGCAGGAACACGCTCACCCCAGGCCCGGCCTCAGGTGGTGCCAGAAGCGGGGAGGCGCGCAGGTCTGCACTTTGCCGTAGCCCATCACCTGGAACGCCGCGAACCATACCATGTCCTCGCAGGCGATCCGCGCCCCGTCGCGGGGGCTGGAGGATCCCGTACCTGCGGGGTCACACTGTCGCTGAACATCGCTGTCCGGATTACTCCTTGGCAGCCTCTGCTGTCAGTATGCTCCTCGGAACCTTGCCATGGAGCCTTCTGGATGCCTGTTGATGTCCGTGTCGCTCCTCGGCATCAGACTCTGTATGGAAGAGCAGCCAAGAACCGCAGTAACAGGTGAATCTTCGCTAGGTGAATCTTAGCTAGTGAGGATACGCGAAGCGTCCATGATCCAACAACCCACGAACGGAGAGCGAGGGTTGGTGGGGTGGAGGCAGCAAGAAAACGCCCATGGGCAGTGAATACGGAAAGGGCTGCTTGGGGTCATGCCACATCCCCGAACGAGTGGGCGTGCGGCGCTTGCACCAGACACTTGTACACATCCCAGCGCAACGGGGCAATCCGCAGCGCGGGGCAAGCGGCAGGACGCAAGCCCGGCCCGAGAACGGCGGCAGCAGCCCTCGCGCAGGCCCGTTGGGGCTGGACGGCACGATAGCGCTGAGGCCATCGCCGCAGGACAGCGAGAACCCCACGGCAGGGGGGAACAGGCGGGCCGGTGAGCAACGAATGTCTCCTGGACGGGGTCGGAGCAGATGGAGCTGGAGGATCGCGCCGCATCACCGATGCATCGGCGATGTATCGTCGACGTCGGCGACGTCTCGGCGACGTCGACGTGAAGCCAGACGAGGTCCACATCGAGGCGCATCGCCGATGCATCGGCGTTGGGGAGCGATCCTTGGACCCCATCTACTCTCACCCCATCTGCGAGGCCGAGAGTCACGGGGGCGCACGAGGTGGCGCTGAAGACTACAAAGCACTTCGGGCGGAAGAAAGCGGCAACAACCATGACAATGTTTGATCCCGTGCTCTCCTGGCGAAGTGATGCGTCTCAGGCGGCTGCGGGATGCAGCCGCGAGACAGGAAAGCGAGCTAAGTATATGGTGAAGCCCAGGGAGGCGGTGTCCCAGGGCTCACATGACGAGAGTCGTGAGACGGCATGGGCCCCATAACCCCCGACCCCACTGCCAGTCGGTTATTGATGGACCTGGGGCCAGAGATCGGCCCCTGGGCGTCCAAATTACCAGCTCGAGTTTGCTTCGCACGCCTGGAGGTCTGGCATTGAAAGAAATGGGATCGGGCGGCAACTGTAAAAGGCACAGTGCTGGAGGGGGGCAAATCGGTATGTTGTTATGGGCTCCTAGAAAGCAGGAGAGTCTCTAGGATGCGTGGCGCCCTCTTACAAGGCTGACCCCCAACGCCCTGTCCCGCTTGCGAACGCCAGCGAGAAATCGAGAGAATATGAAGTTTACGCTGATGCGATGGGCGCAGGGCGCGGCGCGGAAGAAACTCGACGACAGCGCGTGGTGGTGGCCGACACCTCCACATCAAAAGGCCCAGCTCAGGCAGAACCTGCGGAAGAGAGCCCACAGCAACACGGCGCGCCGAATGGCGGCTCGCGCACCATCGAGACGAAGAAAGGGGAATAATGGGTGGGGCCCCGAGCTCCACCAGGACCAGGAGTGTCTCATCGAGAGCACAGGAGTGCGTGCAATCAGCTACAAAAAACTAACGCTGGCACGCGGCAGCGCACAGCCGAGGAAAGGGCAAAACTAACACCCCCAGCATACCAGAAGAAGAACGCAAAATTCGAGAGGGCCCAGATCTTGCAGAACGATTCCGAAAAGCATGGGGCACAGAAAAACATACCAGTAACGACTACGATGTGCTCGTGCCGGAAACGCACGTCCGACACGAACAGATCGTATGACAATCGTGTTTAATATATAGTTCCCCGATCGGGCGTTGGCAGAACTGGGTTTAGCGGGACCTGGTGTAAGGATGTGTACTGGGGGACGTCCCCCTGCCCCCCGCTCCACTCACCGGAGCTGCTGTCACCCGAAAAAACACTAGCTGCGGCAGACCTGGTCTGGTGATTCTGGCCAATTTCGGGGCTCCGGGGCCCCACCACTAACCGGGTCCCCTTACCTTTGAGCAAGGACCGACCGTCCCGGCATTCCTATGGGCCTGCCACGACATGTTCTGAGAACCCGACAACGTTGTAAAAACAAAAACGATGTCCTTAGAACATAAGCCGGATGTGCTAAGACAAGACAACCCCAGCCAGAACTGTTCTGATAACACTCCGTGGAGACCACAAAAAAAAGTCTCAGGACACTGTTCGGCAGGCCTATCGGCACGCCAGGAAGAAATTAGCCTCCGCACCGTCTCTGAAAGGCAAAAGTCTGCATACTATGCCAACCCACTCGGGCTGAGCATGCCCACTGTGGAGGGACACCTCTGGTCCGGGGACGCACGCTGGCAGGGCGTCCTAATGGCAGCTGCTGCGCCAACAGCGTGCCCCATGAATGACAGCGCGCTGCTCCAGCACATCGCTCGGACGAGCCCTTGACGACACCGGGACGCCTCGCCCCTGCTCGATGCCTGGGGTCCTGGCCGTCGTGCCCGGCCCGAGCGGCATGGCCAGAGAGCGCCCGCCGCGGAGCGTGTACGCACCGAGAGTCCTGAGAGCGCGCGCGTGGCCCACGCGGGGCCGAGGCGCACGCACAGGGTGGCCGTCTGGGCCCGTGGGCCGCTCGCGCTTGGCAGGCTGCAAGGCCTCAGGCCGGGCACGTCCCCCTTACAGGCAGATTTTGTGGGGGGCCACATGCGAGCCCTACCCCCACCCCCCACGAGTTCTGAGGGGGGTAGGGGTAGGGTTCGCATGTAGCCCCCTATTTGGGAAGAAAGATTGAGCATTGTCCAAAAGTACTCAACCATGGTAAGAAATAGCCGAAACATCGACCCCATACTATCTTTAAGACTATGCTTCAAGCTTCCCCCCAGTAGAAGGACATGCCCGACGTATTTGATGCAAGGCAATTCCACCTTCTTGGGGTCCGAGTTCCAGCCGGCCAAGCGGCAGCCGCGGACGCACCGGGCGGCACTCCAAGCCTCTTCCCGCCAAGCACTATTCAGCTGCGCCTGCTCTGGCACCGGTCGGGACGCAGAAACACAGAAGCTGGATACAGGCGGGTTCTTGCGCACAGGACGCGCGACAGGACACAAGACTCTTCCGACGGCAACATGGCCTCCAAAACCCACAGGACGCAAGGGTACCCTGCCCTTCGGCCGCAGAGGACACGACGCGCGATGCACAGGACACAAGAGCACCCTTGATTTCGCAGGGCCGACCTACTAATGGAACCCGACTGTAGGGACGCTCGTGACTAGTGCTCTGCGGGATGGATCGGCCATGACAGGCGAAAATCGTCAACGCCCCTGGGGACTCCAATACAGTCCAGCGAAACGGGAGCGGCAACTTGACCTTCATGTAGCCGTCGAAACAAGGATTGGCGGCATATGAAAAGAAATTCGAGCATAAGTCGGCCGAGGGACACAATGTCCACCTCCTCCTCCTCCTCTTCTTCCTCCTCCTCCTCCCTTCTCCTCCTCCCTTCTCCTCCTCCTCCTCCTCCTCCTCCTCCTCCTCCTCCTCCTCCTCCTCTTCATAGTGTCCCTGCTCATGCTTATTTTCCTCGTCCCTCCTCTTCCCCCTACGTGCGACCTCACGCCATCCCCTGGGCCCCCTTACTCCCTCCCTCCCCCTCCTCCTGCTGCCTCCCCGGTCCCACTCCCTCCTCCTCCTCCTCCCTCCTCCCTCCTCCTCCTCTCTTCCTCCTCCTCCTAAGGAGGCCCGCTCGCTGTCCTGGCAGCTTGGTCAGTGATCCTCCACCTCCTCCTCCGCCTCCTCCTCCTCCTCCTCCCTTTTCCTCCTCCTCCTCCTCCTCCTCCTCCTCCTCCTACTCCTACTCCTCCCTTTTCCTCCTCGTCCTCCCTCCTCCTCCCTCCGTCCTCCCCGCTCCTCAGGGTTCACTGCTCCTCCCTGCTCCCTGTTCTGCTCCACCCTGCCCCCTGCTCCTCGATCCCCTCCTCGATCCCTCCGCGATCCCTCCTCGATCCCTCCGCGCCCCCACGCCCACTCGCCAGGGACAAACGTGGCGTGCGGCTCCGCGCCCCCGCATGCGGGGGGGGAGGATGGAACCACTGCTCCCGCCCTCGCGCCCCGCGCCCTTCTCCTGTGCTGCGGTGCGGTCAAATCCGCAGTAAGGACGCAAGGTGCAGTGGAGGCCTGTCCATAAGAAACCTTCCACAGGAAACCCAACCCTGATACCCCAGGACGACCATTGATTTTTGGGGTGTGGGAACGTCTCGCTTCCCATAGCAAAATCATCGAAATCCAAGAAACCCAGGGGACCCTGGAGGCAAGCAGGGTGTCTCTTGGTATGGCCCCCCTCTGTAAGGATACAAAACCCTTTGGAGGTACAGTGTGCCATTCTGGAGTCCCTCGGACGCCAACATTTGGCTACGGATGGGCTGCAGAGACAGGGATGCAAGGGTCGCCTGGATGAAACAGCGCATCTCTACCATGGACTCTGACTGTGTGCGGTGCATTCAAATCCAGAGTAAGGATGCACGGCGGTAAGGATGCAAGACACTCTGGAAGTCCCATGCGCCATTTTAGAGCCCACCAGACGCCGTAAATTGGCTCAGGATGGGCCGCAGTAGCAGGGACGCAAGGGTCGCCTGGATGAAGCAACGAATCCCTACTGCTACGATTTTGACTGTACATCCCCCAAGGTTGAGCAGGGACCGACCGTCCCGGCATTCCTGTAGGCCTACCACGAAGAAATGTTCCTAGAATCAAAAAAAGTTCTAATAACCACAACAATGTTCTTAGAACATAAGCCCGATGTGATAAAACAAGACAGTCCCAACCAGAAGTGTTCTAAGAATATTTCGTGGGAACCACAGGAGGTTCATAGAACATTGTTTGGTAGGACTATAGGCACGCCAGGACGCTTCGCCACTGCTTGACAAGGCGGGATGGGAATAGGAGAAGACCAAACGGCACAACACACAAACTTCTGGCGCTCGGCGCGGAATTCTTGGATCCGTGGAGCGGAGGCGCGGGAGCGCGGGGAGCGCGGAGCCCGCAGAGCGCGCCAGGGGCGGCGCCGGAGGCGCCGCCTGAGGGCCCCAGCGCTGGCCCAAGAGATCCGCGCGGAGCACCAAAAGTTTATGTTTGCATCGTTTTCCTTCCTCGTGTGAAAAGAGGCTGCCCGGCCCGTGCCACCGGAGCAGCTCCAGGTAGAAGTTCTGGCACACCACCTCCCGCGGGAAGATGGGCACCTGCAACGCGGTCGGCCAGGATTTTCGGGGGCGGCCACGACGAGGGCGTCCAAGAGGGGGAGCGCAAATCATGGCCGGCGGCACGTGCGCGGCCCAGGGCGGGGGGGGGGCCAGGAATGCAACGAAATACGAAGAGGCGCCATGAAATCTGGGGAGCTATCATGGCCCACGCCATGATGTCCCACCCCCCCTGCTCCTCCTCCTCCTCCTCCTCCTCCTCCTCCTCCTCCTCCTCCTCCTCCTCCTCCTCCTCCTCCTCCTCCTCCTCCTCCTCCTCCTCCTCCTCCTCCTCCTCCTCCTCCTCCTCCTCCTCCTCCTCCTCCGCCTCCTCCTCCCCTCCTCCTCCTCCTCCTCCCTCCTCCTCCTCCTCCTCCTCCTCCTCCTCCTCCTCCTCCTCCTCCTCCTCCTCCTCCTCCTCCTCCTCCTCCTCCTCCTCCTCCTCCTCCTCCTCCTCCTCCTCCTCCTCCTCCTCCTCCTCCTCCCCCCTCCCCCTCCCCCTCCCCCTCCCTCCCCATCCGCCTCCCCCTCCGCCTCCTCAGCCTCCTCCTCCTCCTCCTCCTCCTCCTCCGCCTCCTCCTCCTCCTCCCCTCCTCCTCCTCCTCCTCCTCCTCCTCCTCCTCCCCTCCTCCTCCTCCTCCTCCTCCTCCTCCTCCTCCTCCTCCTCCCCTCCCCCTCCCCCTCCCCCTCCCCCATCCGCCTCCCCTCCGCCTCCTCAGCCTCCTCCTCCTCCTCCTCCTCCTCCTCCTCCTCCTCCTCCTCCTCCTCCTCCTCCTCCTCCTCCTCCTCCTCCTACTCCTCCTCCTCCTCCTCCTCCTCCTGCTCCTCCTCCCTCCTCTCCTCCTCCTCCTCCTCCTCCTCCTCCTCCTCCTCCTCCTCCTCCTCCTCCTCCTCCTCCTCCTCCTCCTCCTCCTCCTCCTCCTCCTCCTCCTCCTCCTCCTGCCTCCTCCTCCTCCTCCTCCTCCTCCTCCTCCTCCTCCTCCTCCTCCCCCTCCCCCTCCTCCTCCTCCTCCTCATCACCCACCTCGTGGCCGCCCCCGATGTCTGCGGCAGCGGGGCTCGGAGGCCGCGCGGGGGCACCGCGGACAGGCCGCGGGGGCGGCCCGCGGGAGCAGCACGCCGGCGAGCGCCGCCAGGGGAGAGAGAGGCCGGCAGGCACGCGGGAAGTGCAGCCAAGAGCGGGAGCACAGGCCAGCGTACGGTGGGGGCCAGCCCCCGGGGAGCCTTCCGCGGGAAGCCCCAACCCTGAGACCCCAGGACGTCCATGGATGTTGTTTTTGTTTGTTTGATGTTATGTTGTTGTTTTATTGTTTGGGGACGTCCATGGATATTCGGTGTGGGAGCGTCACGCTCTCCACTGCAGAACCATCAAAACCCAAGAGAAACCCAGGGCGCCCTGGAGGCGAGCAGGGTGTTTCTTGGAATGGGCCCCCACTGCATGGGCCGAACTCTTCTCGAGAACGGCTGCAACCGTACCGTAAGGGGAGAACTGGGCCTGCGAACGCGAAACGGGCCCGAGACGGCGATCACAAGAAGCAGCAAACAGACGTCCATCGTTCACGGTGACGAACCAACAACACACACCCATACCCATAGGGGTGTCGGGTAGGGCTATGCGTGCGTGTTGTCGAATGGGGGTCCCCGCTCGAACGGGAGCGTTCCCAAGGGTCCGACAACCCGCACCCATACCCATAGCCAGTCCTCCTCCCAACGACCCCCCTATGGGTATGGGTGTGTGTTGTTCGTTCGTGACACGGCACGAAATAATGCAGTCATATCCCCGCAGCCTATCCGGCAGGCCAAACGAGCTCTCCAGGTAGCCCGAGGATGGCCTCCGAGAGACCAGCACTCTTAAGGAACAGTGAGATGCATCAATCGACCCATATGGGTGAAGCCCACTTTGACTGTCTTGAAGCTGTCCTCTCCACTGCTCGCGCAAACATCCCACCCACCCACCCGCGACTTGGTTTGCAAAACCTGTTAAGACCGACTACGACGACACCGACGACAACATATGGGTGAAGCTAACAAGAGCGCCCCTGAGCGCATGCAGGCTGCTCCCAAATCAGGCCTCAGCGCTCCGAAAGGACTCCAAAGATGCGCAAATATGCACACTGGGCCGCCCGGAAATACTTCATATGGAGTGGCTGACCCATTCGCAAATATCCCACCTGCCCTTCGGGGCGCAAGCGGTTCACGGAGTTCTTCCGACCTCCTCCTTCTCCTTCCAGGGGAATTGTGCCACCGCTCCTTCTCGAGAGACACCCCATCCCCCACCCGATCTGCGAAAAATCCAGGACAACGTGCCCCCCCCCCCTCTGCCATCCCTGTCCAAAAACAATGCAGAGTGCTGGCTGCGGCTAAATCTTACGTCATGCCTGGGGGGGGCGCGAGCACGTTGCACTGCTGTTTGACAGGGGCGGCGCGGATGCCAGCATATGGCTCACCGTGCGCAGGCCCCCCCTGCCAAAACAAAGTACAAACTGCGCGGACTCCCCGCGAGAACCTGCACTGAGTTCTGCGGTGGGCAGGCCCACCAAACACGATGATGGACACTCTGTCGCGAGCGCGCAACAGATTCCAACAGGGATGATGGGGGCCGATATGCTTCCCGATGTGAGCGGGCGCACCAGGTACATTCTGAGCGTGCCAAGAACGTGGTGCCCTGAACGTGGTGCACATGGCGCGGTTGGAGCATGCGGCACACTTGGTGCACGTAGAGCACGTGGCGTATCTGGCGCACCAGGCGTGGCTGGCACGCTTGGGCCACAGGGGCGCCTGGTACGCGTGGCGCACCTCGCCCCAGCGTCGTGCACCTGTGGGTCTGGATTGGGTCCATCCAAAGACGGCCGCTAAATATGCTGAGACTCGGGTGCTACGTATGTGTTGAGAGGGCGGGTGAGTGAACCAGACAGGTTGCATCTGGGAGAGGTGTTTTGACCCTTCCCCATACACCGCACCCTGGGTCTAGATGAATGGGGTCACGAGGCGTTAGAGCGTCCAAGATGACCCGAGATGGACCCACAAGAACCCCAGAAAACCCAACGCGGCCTCCAATGTGGCACAGGGCAGCTCAGGAGGATGGCTCAGGATAGCTTCCAATATGCCTCCATTGGACCTCAAGGCCGCCCCAAAGCGGCTCCGAGTAGCCTCGGAGCCTCCCAAGGACGCCCTCGAGAGCGCCAACTCCTCCAAACGCCCAGGGGGAGTCTGTGGTATTGGCCGTTTCGCTGCTTCGCTCCCGATGTTCGCGTGAGGCGCCAAGACGGTCCAGTCCAGCCCCTGGGGGCCTCCAATATGGCCCCAAGAGCGCCCAACAGCGCCGCAGGACGCGATGTTGATGTGAGAGGGATGGATGTTCCACAGGGCAAATCTGCTGTACCCACCCCCCGGGGGACAGAGCCCGCACTATGAGTCGGGATGCCCCCCCCCGGAGACGCGCGCGCCTTCAGGGCAGCGCACAGTGAGGTGAGAGGAGGAGAGGCGCGGGTGTTCCCACCGGCCAGGACTGCGCCATCTTCCACAGTTGAGGGCAGTGCGCCTCCGCGCCGCCCCCTTTGTGTGTTGACCGATGGCCTCCAAGATGGCCCCAGGAGGGCCCACAGGGAGCCCAAGAGGGCCACCCAAGAGCCCCAGGGGGGGCCCCAATCGAACACCCGAATGCATCCAAAAGGGCCCCCAGAGTGCCAGGTAAGCCGCCAAGAGGATACTCATACCGCCAGATCCGCGAAGGCATGTATGGCTGAATCCTGGGTTTGCTCAGGTTGATCCCAAGCTTCGGTTCGACGACTGTCCCCCACTTTGTCCCGCTGTTTGCACCTATGCTTCCCTCGTCAAGGCAACTCGCAGATGCATCATTTCTAGATGGGCAGGTGGGGATACACAAAGCGTCAAACATTGGCACTTCTAATGGTCCCACGTTGCTTCTGGATTTCTGTAGGGAGGCAAACCCGCCTCCGGGTCAGGCCACAGAGCTTCGAACAGCTTGCGAAGAGAGGTCAGAGACAATCGCTCACTACTCTAAAGATTTAGGTGCCAGCGTTTTGCTGTGGCGCCCAGATTGCACCCGCTGGGGAGAAGGAGCCCTGGAGCAACGAAAGGGATACGGTAAACGTTTGCCTTGATGACATGGGACCTGGCTTCGGACACCGCGTGAATCGTTATACCGTGAACGATAGCCGCTCTCAAATACCTCCAGAAGCTCCCAAAGGATGTTGATAGATCCGCCATAGACCCTCGATAGCGAAACGCCATGCTCCTGGGCGGGGTGGGCTGTCAGACCCCCTATCGGCGATAAGTGGGCGATCGGGGGTCGATGCGTTCCTCCCTGAGCCTATCCCCTGCCTGCAGCTGCCCTCTGTCGGGCAATCGTTCGGGTCTCCAGCGGCCGCTCGGGACAATGCGGGCACCCCCCCAGAAAGCTCTCGGCGAGCCGCAGCTGCTGGAAGGCACCTCGATGCTGCCAAGCCGCCGAGGAGCGACGAGACCGTCCGAAAACTCCAAACGGCGGCCGCTCGGGACGATGCGGGCACCCCCGGAAGGCTCTCGGCGAGCCGCAGCTGCTGGAAGGCACCTCGAGGCTGCCAGGCCGCCGAGGAGCGACGAGGCCGTCCGAAAACTCGCAACGGCGGCCGCTCGGGACGAGCCGCAGCTGCTGGAAGGCACCTCGAGGGTGCCAGGCCGCCGAGAAGCGACGAGGCTGGCCGAAAGTTTTCAGCCTCGAGCCTTCCCCCTCCTGAGCGCTGCCCCCTGGCAATCCTCCGCAGACACTGCGTGCTGCGGGATCGTTTCTGAAGGGGCCCAGGGGCACACCAGCAAATGCGCACAGATCCCAGGATTCCTCTAGGCGTGCCCCCAGATCTTCTGGACGTTCGTCTTCCCCTCCCACTTCCCGCAGTGTCCACACCTGTTCCTGGGGGTCGACGATGACTTGTGCCCGTGTGTGTGAGTGTGTGTGTTGTTTTGGTCCCTCCCGGCGGCGAGCGGCGAGCGGCGGGCACGCGTGAGGGCCGCCTTCGGCCGCGGGTCCCGGAAGAAGTTGTCCAGGACGGCGATGATCTCGCGGGTCTTCCCTCGGGAGAGATGGCCGCCCCCCCAAAAAAATATTCAGCTACGCGCAAGAGTGGCACTGGCTAAGAGTGACCTTTGGTGAGCGGCTCCTTAGGGGCCGCGGGGGGGGGGGCCAAACTCAAGCGCGCAGGACGCTAGTTGTCGCATCGCGCTCGGCAATCGGGGGGCCCCAGTGGGCCCGCGCGAAGGGTCACTCTTGCGGTCATTCCGACGCGCTCGCCCAATCGGGGGGCCCAACGGTCATTCCGGCGAAGGGTCACTGTTAGGCGTGGTCGACAATTCGCGATCTCCGACAGACCTTCCTCCCGAAGCCTCCACCCCCGCCAGTCTCCCCCCCTCCGAGCCGTCGCCCTCCCCCCGCGCGTCTCTCCACCGCTTTCCCTTCCCGCACCCCTCGTCCACTCCCACGGTCCAGCCCATTTCCCTGTCCTTCGCCCTCGTCTGTTTCCCTTTCCCCGTCCCCATCCCCGCTCCCCCGCCAGCTCCCATCCACTCCACCTCCCCATGTCCCAACCTATCCCTGCTCATCATCCTACTCATCGCCATCCTCATCATCACTACCACCCTCCACTAAACAACATCCCCGTCGTCAGGATGTATTTCATCCCTACCACCGTCAACAGAACCAACAAAAATCGTGTGCAACATTGCACACTCATCAATAGATCAATCATCTTTGCGCAGGTACCACCCTCGTAAGCCGCATCACCGCCATCACCAGCTCGGCGCCACCAGCATCATCGTCAACATTGTTATCGACGTCATCAGGGCCGTCATGTGCATTACCAGCATATCACCACCATTCTCATCACCGCCACCATCACCATCATCACCACCACACCACCACCATTACCACCATTACCACCAACACCACCAGCATGAGAATCACCATCACCACAGCCATCGTCATAATCAACACCATCGTCAGCCTTTCCGTCCACATCATCACCACCAACGTGCTTATTAAGATCACCATCGCCATCACCATCATCGTAATCATTACCGCCAGCACCATCGCAAACCTCCTCCTCATCATCATCATCCTCATCCTCATCCTCATCCTCATCCTCATCATCATCATCATCATCATCATCATCATCATCATCAGAAGAAGAAGAATCAGCAGCATCAGCATCAGCATCAGATCATCAGCATCATCATCATCATCATCATCATCATCATCATCATCATCATCATCATCATCATCATCATCATCATCATCATCATCATCACCATCACCATCACCATCACCATCACCATCACCATCACCATCACCATCACCATCACCATCACCATCGTCATCATCATGGCCAGCAGCGGCCGAGGAGGCCAGCAGCGCGCTCACTACCAGGGAGCCGCCGCCGGACCTCGCGGAGGGCAGCAGCTGCCGCCGCGGCCCGGGAGCCCAGGCCTGCTCGCCGCCGACCACCCCGACGGCGCGGAGCACGCCGCCTCCCGTCCTGGGCGTGGGCGCCCGCACCGCTGGAGGCCCCGAGGCCCCGAGGCCTCGGGGCGAGTGCGCGGCAGCGCGGGGGCGGCGTGAGCCGACTGCCTTGCGCGGCGGCGCGCAGGGCAGGTGCGGCCGCCCCCCCCGAGGCTCAGCCGCCCCGCCGAGGGCCGTCGTTTCGCCCCGGGGCCAGCCCTCGTGCGCCCCCCGCTCGGGCCGCCCCTCGCCAGGCCGGCGGTCGAGGACGGCAGGCGGGCGGCTCGCTCCCTCCGATGGCGGCTCGGCCTCAGCGCAGACGAGTTCCGCCCGAGGCAGCTTGCGCACGTCTGCGACCAGCTCGTGGAGGGCCTCGTTGCCCGCGGCACGGCGGCGGAGGCCGCGGGCACGCGGCCGGAGGCGGCGGTCGGCGGGCTGGTGGTCCTGCCGGCGAGGCGTGGCGGACGCTGGCGCCCCATCGGCCTCCTCCAGCGGCTGCCTCGCCGGCGGGGCCGCTTCTGCCTTTCGTTTTGGACGCCCGAGAGGGGTACGGAAAGAATGGGTACAATATGCCCAACAACAAATGGTGTCCCAAACCAACAGCGGCCGCTGTTGGGCAGGCGGCCTTCTGTCTCGAATGGACACAGGCCGCCTTGGTGGAGGGCATCCCCGGCGAGGCGGCGGCCAAGGAAAGGGCGTGCCGCGGCGGTGCACAGCGAGGCCAGCCGTGCCCGGGTCCTCTCGGCAGGCTGCGCGCTCCTCGACCTCTGGAGGGCCTGCGAGGCGGTAAGCCTGGCGATGGCGCAGCGAAGAGGGCTCGGCATGGGCTACCCCGAGCAGCTGGTGCAGGCCGCCATCTGCTTCTATTCGGGCGCGCGGCACCTGATCATCGTCGGGGGCGTTAGCTCGGAGTGCTTCTACCTCTCGAGCGGCCTCATCGCGGGCTGCAGCCACGCGGGGAGGCGCCTGAGGTGCGCCATCATGGTCCAGGAGGCAAAACATCGCCGCCGCTGGAAGGAGGTCAGTTGCGCCATCATGTTCGACGAATGCTCGCTGCGGATGGCGGGCGAGTGCTGGAAGGTGGCCCACTTCCTCGGCGGTGCGGCGGGCGATTTCATCCTCTGCCTGGAGGCGTCCTTGGGCCGCATCGTCTCGCGCTCGAAGTCCGAGGTGCTCGCGACGACGGCCACCCTCCGCGCAGCGCTGGTGAGCATCATCAACGGGGGCGCGCTGAAACAAGCAGCGGAAGCGCGTAACCTCGGGATCGATTGCGGCGCCGCGTCGGGCGCCTCGGCGGTCGCCCTCGGCCGCCCCGCGACGGCGGCGGAGCAGATAGACAGCGCGCTGCAGGCGAGGCGAGGGCTCATCCCCTGCGCCAAGCGGCAGGTCATCAGCGGCTCGCTGCCAGCCGCGGATTACGGCTGCGGAGCCATGGCCTGGACCAAGCCGAGGCTGCAGGCGTGGCGCAGCAAGGTCGCCGCCATGCTGTTCGGCAGCGTTCCGGGGAGGTCGGCGGCGCTGAGCTTCCGAGTCGGTCCGCCCAGACCCCCTGTTCCAGCACGCCTTCCGGCCGATGGACGCGTGGGCGAAGGCCCTGCAATTGGCAGGGCGCCTGGAGGACCGCCGCGCCATCCTGAGCGCCTGCGTGGACGCGCAGCGAGGCCTGGCCTATCACGGCCCCCGCGGGCGCCCTGCTTTTGGTGTGCCCGCGGTTCGGCTGGCGCGCGGCCTCAGTCTGGACGCTGCGGGACGACCTCGGCCGCGAGGTGGACCCCGTGGTCAGCAGCCGCCACACCCTGCAGGGCATCGTCGAGGCGGACCTGCGCAGGCAGCTTTGGCGGCCGCGCGAGGCGGCACGCCATCCCGAGGAGTTGGAGGCGGCTCGCCGCGGCGGGGCCGTCGCCAGCCTGCGCTGCGGCTACCTGCCCAAGAAGGCGACGGCGAGGCTGGCGGCCTGCGGCCCCTCGACACGAGACGCCCTGGCCGGCTGCCCGTGGCCGGTCGCGCGGAGAGCGCGGGCCCCCCCCGCCGCTCGCCTCCTCGGCCCGCGGCTCGTGGGGGTGCGACGAGGCGGGGGGCGGACAGGGGCAGATTCGCGCTGCTGCAAGAGGCGGAGGCGGCGGAGCCCGACACAGGCCAGGAGCATCACATCTGGTCCCGCGGGCTGGTGCCCGACCCGCGAGCAGAGGCACCGCGGGCGCAGACCTTGAGGTGGTCAGGTGCGCCTGGGCGGGCTGCCGACAACGTCCAATGGCAGCCTGCGAAGTCGGCGGGTCCGACTGCGCCGTCCTCGACCTGCGACCCGCCACGGCACGGCGCTGCTGCTGGGCGAGACGGTCTGCCCGAGCTTCTGGGTCTGCGCCGTGCAGGGGGGCCTGGCGGCCGCCCGCAGCGGAGGCGCAGGCGACGGCGCAGGAGCGGCGGGAGCAGCCGTTCTCGCCTGGGCGGCCGCCGCACTGGCGGAACGCCCTCGCGCAGAGGCCGCGGGCGGTGGCGGGGGCAAGCCCGCCCGCGAGGGGCCGCCGAGGCAGAGGGAGGGCGCCGCTGGCCCAGAAGGCGCGGTGGTTGGCGGGTCCGCAGCAGCGGAAATCACAGCCGCCGCCGAAGCGGCTCCGCCTCCTGCTCATCCTCCTCCTCCTCCTCCTCCTCCTCCTCCTCCTCCTCCTCCTCCTCCACTCCTCCTCCTCCTCCTCCTCCTCCTCCGCTGCAATGTTCCTCCGTCTTCTTCCTCCTCTTCCACCACCCCCTCGTCCTCGTCCTCGTCCTCGTCCTCGTCCTCTCCTCCTCCTTCCTCCTCCTCCCTCCTCCTCTCTCCTCCTCCTCCTCCTCCCTCCTCCCCCCTCTCCATCTCATCCTCCTCCTCATCCTCCTCCCCCGCCTCAACATCCTCATCTCATCATCATCATCATCATCATTCTCATCTCATCATCATCCTCATCATCATCATCATCATCATCATCATCATCATCATCATCATCAGCAGCAGCAGCATCATCATCATCATCAGCATCATCATCCTCATCATCATCATCATCATCATCATCATCATCATCAACATCATCATCATCATCGTCATCATCATCATCATCATCATCATCATCATCATCATCATCATCAGCATCATCAGCATCATCATCATCAGCATCATCATCATCATCATCATCATCATCATCATCATCATCATCATCATCATCAGCATCATCATCATCATCATCATCAGCATCATCAGCATCATCATCATCATCATCATCATCATCATCATCATCATCATCATCATCATCGTCATCATCGTCATCATCACCATCATTATCATCATCATCAGCATCAGCATCATCATCAGCGTCATCAATATCATCATCGCCGTCATCATCATCTTCATCATAAGCATCATGAGCAGCATCATCATCATCAGCATCATCATCATCATCAACAGCAGCATCATCATCAGCATCATCAGTATCATCATCATCAGCAGCATCATCATCAGCATCATCATCATCATCATTACCATCATCATCATCATCATCATCATCAGCGTCATCGTCAGCAGCATCATCATCATCATAATCAACATCAGCATCATCATCATTATCATATCATCATCAGCATCAGCATCATCACCATCGTCATCATCCGCATCATCACTATCATCATCAACATCGTTGCAAGCATTATCAGATTCCGCAACATTATCATCAGCATCATCATCTTCATCATCGTCATAATCATCATCAGCAGCAGCATCATGTGCAGCAGCATCATTATCACCATCAGCAGCATCAGCAGAAGCATAATATGCATCATCCTCAGCACCAGCATCGCCATCGTCACCATCATCATCATCATCAGCATCATCATCATCATCATCATCATCAGCAGCAGCATCGTCATCGTCTTCATCAGCAGCATCATCGTCATCATCAGCATCATCATCAGCGTTATGTTCATCGCCCTGCTCATCGTCATTAGCAGCATCATCAGTAGCATCAGCAGCATCATCATTATCACCATCAGCATCACCATCAGCACCATCATCATCAGCACCATCAGCATCATCATCATAATCATCAGCATCATCATTATCAGCATCATCGTCATAATCAGCATCATCAACATTGTCATCAGCAGCATCAGCAGCACCATCACCGTCATCATCATACTCAGCATCAGCATCGTCATCATCAGCATCATCATCAGCATCAGCATTATTATCGTCATCAGCAGCAGCATCATCATCAGCATCATCATCATTATCAGCAACAGCATCGTCATCAGCATCATCAGCATCATCAGCATCCGCATCGTCAGCATCAGCATCAACATCAGCAGCATCAGCATCATCCTCATCATCGGCATCATCAGCATCATCACATCTTCATCATCCGCAGCATGCGTAGCAACATCACCACCAGCAGCAGCCTCGTAATCAGCAGCAGCAGCAGTATCGTCATCATCAACTTCGCTACCATCAGCATCATCAGCAGCAGCGTCATCATCATTAGCATCATCAGCAGCAGCATCAGAAGAGGCAACACCATCATCATCATCATCATCAGCAGAAAATCGATCATCCCTCGTAATATTACTACCATCAGCAGCATCATCAGCATCATCAACAACTGCGGCAACATCGTCGTCATCGGCACCACCGTCATCAGCATCATCAGCAGCAACAGCATCGTCATCGTCATGGTCACCAGCTTCGTCACCTGCATCATCAGCAACGTCATCAGCAACAGCATCAGCATCAGCATCATCAGCATCAGCTCTATCATCAGCATTATCATTGTCATCCGCATCATCATCATCATCACCATCAGCATCATCATCATCATCATCATCATCATCATCATCATCATCATCATCATTGTCCCGTCCCCCTTCCTCTTGCCACCTCCTCCTCCTCCTGCTGCTCCACATCCTCCTCCTATGCTCCTCCTCCTCCTCCTCTCCTCCTCCTCCTCATCCTCCTCCTCGTCAGCCTCCTCTTCTTCTGATGCTGCGCAGTAGTAGTATCATTATTAGGTGTCGGTGCATTCGTGTTCGTATCCGTCATCGTTCCAATAGTCTCGTTCTCCGTGTGAACCTTCGTCCCCGCCTTCTCGGTAGTGTTGGTATCCTGACGTGTGTCGCCATCCTTAGTATTAATCGTCTTGTTCGTGTGAGCTATTATTCGAATTCGTAGTACTCAACCATCTTCTTCTACTAAATAATATGATGCATTCCTTTTATGTGCATTAGTGTTGTTGGTATTACCCATGATTGATCTTACAGATGAATGTTGCTATGTTGTATAATCGTACTCGTCTTCCCATAGTATCATTGTTATTGTTAGTAGAGGTCGTTGTACTCGTGGTTTAGGAATCATTCGCAGTATTGGTATGGTACTCCACTGCCTAATCATCATCATTGGTCCTCACCTTCCTCCTCCTCCCCCCCTCCTCCTCCTCCTCCTACCCCCACTCCCTCGGCTTCTCCCTCCTCATCGGGCTGGCGACAGCGCCCCGCTGGCCTGAGCCGGTCGGGTGCTCCACGAGCAGCCTGGTGATCGGCGAGCCCGGCTGGAGCATGAAGCTCACCGTAGCCTGGGCGCGCAAAATCTTTGCCTTCTGCGGGAACATCATCCATCTATCGGCCGTGGTGCACCGTCCTCCTCCTGGTCCTAATCAAACGCCTCCGTCTCCGCCTCCTCCTCCTCCTCCTCCTCCTCCTCCAACTCCTACTCCTCCTGCTCCTCCTGCTCCTCCTGCTCCTCGTCCTCCTCCTCCTCTTCCTCCTCATTCTCCTCCTCCCCCTCCTCCTCCTACTCCTCCTCTTCCTCCTCCTCATTCTCCTCTTTCTCCTCCTCCTCCTCCTCCGCCTCCTCCTCCTCCTCTTTCTCCTCCTCCTCCTCTTCTTAGTATGATTATGTTTACTTGCATTAGTATTACTAGTAGTATCATCCCGCTTAAAATATCTATCACAATGGGACCTATAACAACAGGTGTTACGATTGCTGCGATTGGTAAGATCAATCGTAGTACTATTATTAATGGTACGGATGGTTATGATGAGATGCAGGGCTATCATCACAGTATTATAGTTGTATGGCCATTGTTATTAGCACTAACACTATGTATTACCATTATTGGCATGAATAATAGTATTCGTATTGGCGTGGTTTAGTTGTACAGTAGTAGTAGTAGTAGTAGTAGTAGTAGTAGTAGTAGTAGTAGTAGTAGTAGTAGTAGTAGTAGTAGTAGTAGTAGTAGTAGTAGTAGTAGTAGTAGTAGTAGTAGTAGTAGTAGTAGTAGTAGTAGTAGTAGTAGTAGTAGTAGTAGTAGTAGTGGTAGTGGTAGTAGTAGTAGTAGTAGTCGTAGTAGTAGGAGTAGTAGTAGTAGTAGTTGTAGTAGTAGTAGTCGTCGTAATAGTAGTAGTAGAAGTAGTAGTAGAAGTAGTAGTAGTAGTAGTAGTAGTAGCAGTAGTAGTAGTCGTAGTCGTAGTCGTAGTAGTAGTAGTAGTAGTAGTAATATTAGTAGTAGTAGTAGTAGTAGTAGTAGTAGTAGTAGTAGTAGTACGGCGCTTACTACTCTTACGATTAGTATTCGTATTAATCGTATACGTGGAATCACAATTTCGTTGATGCATTGTAACGTTAGTCGTGCCATTCGTCGTCTTGGCGCTCTTCTTATTATCGTTATGCTTATGTTCCTGTGTCGTAGTACGTTTCCTAGTATTAGAATCATGGTCAGTCATCTACGCAGTGTGGTTCGTAGTATACGCAATAGGCATGATATGCTTCGTGTTGTTAATTTACCTGTTTTTAATAGTAGTATAGTTATGTGTATTACGGTTGTGTCTTATAGTTATCATTTGTGTGATTAATATAGGTCTTATCGCGAGTAGTGGTCTGAATCGTAGTTGTCAGGATCCTCTTATCAGTTTCTTTTATGAGTAGTATCCTTCGTTATATTGATGATACGAATTATTCGTACTCTATTCAATTTTAGTAGTATTCATAATTCGTTGTGTCATTATGATTCTCATCATTCGTAATACTGATGATCGGCTGGTTATGATTTACTTTTGTTGGACGAAACATTTGGTTGTATTATGATTGTTAGTTTGCTTACTCATTGATTGTATTATTATTCTTGTTCCTCCTCCTCCTCCTCCTCCTCCCCATCATCCTCCCGTTCCTCCTGTGCGCCCCGATTCCCTGCCATCACCTGGACGTCCATTCCCCGTGCATGTCTCGGATGTGTGTGTTTTGCTTCGCAACATGACCCAACAAGCTCCTCGATGGTCCTTGCCGAAAACACAAGTTTTAAAAAGCGTCTCAGAAGCCCGGGGGGACTTCCGAACCTTCTGAGAAGGCCCGCCCCTTTTCACTTCCCCCCCGGGCTTGCCGCTGAACCGAAACGTCCCGCAGATGAGGCAGCATTGCTTCGAGAAGCACTCTGTAACCCCGAAGAAAACCACTTAGGGCTCGAGAGGCGCCAACTCGTCCGGGCGCACAACGACGCCAGCGACGACGACGACGACGACGACGACGACGACGACGACGACGACGACGACGACGGAACGACGACGACGGAACGACGAGGCGCCAATTAGGGATCGAGAGGCTTCGAAGGCAGCAGGGAGAAGGCCACGAGGCCCCCCTGGCCCAAGTTGCAAATGGTTCGGTTCCTCAACTTCTTCGAGGGCAGCGCCCCGAGCCAGGAGCGCGCACAGCGCTGGAGGCGAAGGCACCGCCCGCTGTCGGAAACGTGGCCAACGCTGACTCGCTGAAACGGAGAGCGGAGTCAACGGTCGAGTCAGGTAGGGAGGCGAACGCTACACACCGACGCGTTCTCCGGCCCTGCATTGAAACTTGCCAACAGGAAAGCGAATCCTGGCATACCGGATCCTGGTGAATGCAGTGTTCGCTTTGCCCCGGAAGCAGAAATTACCCTGCGACGTACCTAACCCATTTGCATCAAGTGACAGGAGGAGTTGGTCCAAACTTGCCTGGACCATGACAGTGCAGGAGCTGAAATATGTTGTGCAAGTTACATGGCGGGCGCTCACGTGGCACGATTCACAGGATAACAATAGAAGAACGAGGAGCGAGAGGCCAGGCTTGAGAGGACATGGGGGCGGAAACGAAAGGCGGGAAAAGGACGCGCGGGGGGCCGAACCGTCAGAGCGGCAGCAGCAGAGGAAAGGTGGCAGGGGGCAGAGGACGAGGACGAAAGTGACGGCAGAAGACAGAAGAGTGTTGCTTTTGTCGGTGCTTCGCTAAAGATGCATCGCTGCCTGCGCCATGACACCGCGGCGCTCGACAACACGTTGATCCTGCTTATGGTTAGTGCCAGAAGCGAACGAGGCCTAGATCGCCCGCCAGCTTCCCTGCTTCCTTCCTGCACGCATCCTTGTGCGCCGCCAGGTCTGCGGGCGGCCCGCGACAGCGCCCCGCGGGACCCCCCAGCAGCCCTCGAAAGTGGCGACAGTTTCGCAGATCGCAGCACCCCCAGGGATGGCGAGGTCTAATCTGAGCCTGGGTGGTGACTCACTCCGCTGACCCCCCAACAGCCCTCGCAAATGGCGACAGTTTCGCAGATCGCAGCACCCCAGGGATGGCGAGGCCGAATCTGAGTCTGGATGGTGTCTCACTCCGCTGGAACCCCCTGTAAGCGTCGAAGGTGGCGACAGTTTTGCGGATCGCAGCACCCCAGGGATGGCGAGGTCGAATCTGAGTCTGGGTGGTGCCTCATTCCGCTGAACCCCCCAGCGGCCCGCGGAGGTGGAGGACAGTTTCGCGGATCGCAGCCCCCCAGGAATGGCGAGGTCGAATCTGAGTCTGGGTGGTGCCTCATTCCGCTGAACCCCCCAGCGGCCCTCGCAAATGGCGACAGTTTCGCGGATCGCAGCACCCCAGGGATGGCGAGGTCGAATCTGAGTCTGGGTGATGCCTTATTCTGCCAAACTCCCCAGCGGCCCGCGAAAGTGGCGACAAATTCGCGGATCGCAGCACCCCAGGGATCGCGAGGTCGGATCTGAGTCTAGGTGGTGCCTCACTCCGCTGGCCGTTCAAGACCCTCAGAAAGTCGCGGGATTGAGAAACAGCCCGCCACTGGTAATGTATATGCTCCAGCTTCTGATCAGGAGGGACGGCAACGATACGGCAGAAGAACCTGCCCAAATCAGGATCGTGGCCGGCGTCAAAGAGCGAGCTTCGCTACTACACCCGCGCTACGGAGCAAGAGCAGAATGACCAAGAGCAGGTAGCAAGAAGACATGGGCGATGACGAAGTCAAAGAGAGGAATACGGACATCCCACCAGCCCTTGAGGGCCCCCTTCTTCCCCTTCGGGGAGGGGTTTACCCCTCCCTCGACCCCCTCCCCTGGACCTGGACGAAGGGTTCGGCGGGTAGTTGGAGCGTCCAAAACGGCCTCGGCGAGGAAGCCGAAATCATGGGTTTGACTAAGGTGTTGGCCCCATTTGGGCCTCCTGGGGGGGGGCTAATTGGGGAGCCCCCCTCCTCTGATCGATCTCACCCAACATGGCCCAAAGATGGTGCCCAAGGCCCCCAAGGATGCATCACGAGGGCCCCAAGAGGTGGCCACGAGGCCCCAAGACGCCCCCAAGAGGCACCCAGAATGCCCCCAAAAGCTCCCAAGAGACCCCCAAGAGGCCCCAAGAGGTCCCCCAGAGGCACCCAAGACGCTCCAAGAGTCCTCGGCGAGAAAGCCAAAACCATGGATGTGAGTAAGGTGTTGGCCACATGTTGGCCTCCTGGGGGGGCACTGATTGAGATGACTCCACGAGCGCCTGGGAGAACCCAAGATAACCTCCAAGATGGCTCACGATATCCCAAGGTGCCTCAAAATGGCTCACACGATGCTCCAAGATGACCCAAGACCGCTCCAAGACGGCTCCAAGTAGCCAAAGGGCTCCCCCAGGAGGCCCCGAAGAGGCCCAAATCCGTCCAAAACCTTCAGAAACTTTATGTTTGTGGCGTTTTCGCCTACTCGCTTCCGATGGCCATCTGGGGCCTCAAGATGGCTCCAAGATGGCCCAAGAGGGCCCCAAGAGAGGCTCAAGAGAGTTCCGAGATGGCCACAAGAGCGCCCAAGAGCGCTCGAAGAGCGCCCCAAGAGCGCCCCGAGAGGCGACTGTTTGGGCTCCTGAGGGGCAACGTTAATTAATGTTCGCTTCTTGTTTGATCGATGTACTCCAAGATGGCCCCAAGAGCGCCCCCAAGGTTCCCAAGAGCGCTTCAAGAGGGCCCCAGGAGGCGCCCACGAGGCCCCAGGAGACCCCAACAGGCGCCCAAGAGGCCTCCAAGAGTCTCCCAAGAGACCCCCAAGAGGCCCCAAGAAGCTCTCCGAGGCACCCAAGACGCTCTGAGAGGCGTCCAGGACCGCCAAAGAGGCCCCCAAGACGTTCCAAGAGGCCTCCACTGGGGGACCCTTCCTCTGTGCGCTGCCCACTTCCCTGATCGAGGCAATGTCTCTGGGCATTGTTTCTGGATGGACTGGTGGGGTTCCTTTTTTGGCAGCGGCCGCAGGCGAGAGCGCCAGCGGCGAGTCGAGTCAGAGCGGGCCGCGCAAAGACGAATTAACCTAAAACGGCGGGCCGAAGCCTCACGTGGCACCTCGGCGGGCGGGCCGGCGAGTGAAGGGGGGCTGGCGGCGGCTGCCAGGGCGGCTGCACTGCCAGGGGTGCACGCATGCAAAGAGCTGCAGGGGGGGCGGACTGCCAGGGCGGCCGGCTGCCAGGGTCTGCAAGCTGCGAGTGAAGACTGGTGGGGTTACTTTTTTGGTCGGCAGCTCCGAGGCGGCGGACAGGGAGCGGAAGGCGTCGTCTGGGCCAGCAGGCGAGGCGAATTATCTACAACAGGCAACGCACCTGCAGTAAAAGTCGCAAAGAATGCGAGGTGTGCACATGCATTGAGCAAAATGCTCCACATTAGGGCGAACGCACCTAGGCGCCAGCCACACCGAGGTGAAGCAGACCGCAGTGCTATGCAGCGGGCGAGTCGCCCTGTCGGCGCTAGTCCGCGCAGCCAACCTAGCCGAACAGACAGGTAGCACCGAAGCGACACGCTGAAGGCTGAACCACTCAGCGCGAGGTACCACCGCCGTACGCGGGGTCGGCAGAGACAGGGGCAAAGGAAAGGCAGGGACCTACAGAGCTTTGACTCCACGATCCACACCGTTGCCCATGGTGGGGCCGGTGCGTCAGCCATCGTTTCCGAAACCAGTCACAGGCCAGGAAGCAACGATACTGGTGGGGTTACGCGAAGCGTCTACAATTTAGGAAAAGATGGAGAGAGGGAGAGGACGAGGAATAACCAAGGTTGGGCTCACGGCGATGTTGGTTAACGGTGATGTTGGGAACCAAATTGTAGGAAGTCGCGAACCACACTTCCTAAAATTCCGATCCGCGAATGGATCAAGCAACAACGACACAGCGAATTGCAGCAAAGCACGAGCCACGCGCTCTCACACAGCCGAAACCTACTTCGCCGCTACCTACATCGCCGTTAGCCCGTCTGGGAAATGAGACCGCAGAAAAGCGCCACACGAGTTCAGACCTCGAACAACCCCTCGAGGTACGAGCGACAACCAAAAAACGCGTGCCGTCTGGAAACCCGAATCACGCACACGCACTCCCCCGATACCCTCTGCATCCACCTACGTGTGAGACCCCGGCGCTGTCCATCTACCTGCTCCTCTCCACGCGGGGCCGCGAGCCTGGTGCGGCTGCATGGGGGGGCACTTCTCCTGCCTCGTGGACCTCACGCGGAGCATGCAGTGGAGGCGCAGGACCCTCGACGCGAAGTCGTTGAAGCCTGGCGACAGCACGGAAGCGCCACATCACAGGAGTGGCGCTCTCAAGACGCGCCGCACTCCCAGGGTTGAGCATGCGGCGCCACGGCGCGGCCAGCGATTGAGGAGAAAAGCAGCTCGCGAACGAGACGGGCTGCTCAGAGAGGCCAAAGACTGCCTGGTGCGGGAATCGAGAGATGGCCTGAATCCACAAGGTGACGAGCCATGGACAAGACAAAATGCTGGCCGAGGCAACCAATCCTCACTAGATCCAATGGCCATTCATTGCCCCTCCCCCTCCCTGTGGACATCGCCCCAACCCTTCCGCTACCTCTCCCCCGCCACCTCCCCATCCCCATCCCCCTCCCCCTCCGACTCCCCCTTTTCCTCCTCTTCCCCCCTCCCGCTCTATCTCCTCCTGCCTCCTCCTTCCTCCTCCTCCCACTCCTCCTCCTCCTCCTCCTCCTCATCCTCCTCCTCTTCCTCCTCCTCCTCGTCCTCCTCCGCCTCATCCTCCTCACCCTCCTCCTCCTACTCCCCTCCCTTCCCTCCTCATTCTGAATGCGGGCTCTGGCACCTTCACTGGACGCAACTCTACTCCGCCTCCTCCTCCTCCTCATCATCATCATCCGCCTCATTATCATCAAGTCCTTCACACACACACACTCCTCCTCTCCTCCTCCCACCTCCACTCCAGGCTGCGCTCCCCGTCCTCTCACCTAAGTCGCCTCCCCCCTCCCCACCAGGCTGCGCCTGTGCCATGGCAACGTGCAATAGGTGCGTTTTCCCTTGTCTCTCCGCCGCTTCTGCCTCTGCCTTCTCCCGTCTCCCTTCTCCCTGCTCTTGCTTCTTGCTCCGAGTCTTCCTCTCGTGGCCGGTGGTTCCCTCGACCCGCGAGCTCGATCCGCGGCCGTGGCCGAGGCCCTGACCTGAGGACCCCCCCCCAACACAGGCGCCGCAGCGGACCTCTAGCGACGGATGGAGGCAAGGCCGTGTACGGCTACGGCTGCGCAATGGTGTACAACGTGCGTCGTCCTCCTGATTGTCCTACTAAACGCTGGCGGCAACATGCGCAACCACTGCTATATTTCGTGTACCGGCCAATGCGCTGATTTGAAGGATGAACAGGACCAGCCGCGCAAAACAGAAGCTCTAAACGCAGGTATTTCATGATGTCTCTCCAAAAACTCGCGGCTGGCTGGCCATGAAAATCGTCACTCCCCTCCTCGCCCCCCCCCTTTTTTCCTCCTCCTCATCATCATATGCAAAATAACCACACCGATACGAATAACAATACTCTTGAGACTAACAGTAACACTAAGAATACCCATCAGAAAAATCCGCCGACGCTGCCGGCGTGGGGGAGAGGCTTGTCCGTCTTCCCCACAGCGTCGTCGCCTCTGCTGCTTTCCGCGGACTTCCCACACAAGTCCGCACCAAAATCGAACAACGTCGTCCTGGTGGAAGCCCCTTCCCTTGATCCCTTCCCCGCCGGGGGGGGTGTCCTGGGGCAACTCCCGGGGGGGGGGGTCCTGGGGCAACTCCCGGGGGGGGGCCCGGGGCAACCCCCAAGGCCCTCTGGAGCCGTCTGCGGGCCCGTTCAGCCTATCTTAAGGCTCCTTGGAGACCTTTCGCCATTACTAGACTCTCTTGGCAGCCTCTGGCGGCACTCTTGACAGCCTCTGCGGGCGCCTTAGAACCTCGCTTGACGCCGTCTTGGAACCCTCTCGGGCCCCTTGAGGGCGCTCTTTGCCTATCTTGGCACTCTCTGGAGCAGTTCCCGAACCCTGGAGGAGGCCTCTTGAGCTGTCTTCGGACGACCGTAATGCAGGCATCTTGCGTCGTCTTCGAGCCATCTGAGGGCATCTTGAACTCCTCTACCTCCATTGTCTTCGTCGTCGCTGCCTACAGGGTCGGCGGCATCGGCCGTAAGGCCTTCGCAATCATAATAAAAAAGAAGAATACTCATCATCATCGGCATCATCATCATCATCATCATCATCAGCAGCAGCATCATCATCAGCATGGAGAGTAATCAGCATCAGCATCATCAGCATCAGCAACATCAGCATCAACCAGCATCACCATCATGATCATCATCAGCAGCAGCATCATCAGCAACATCATCACTCATCATCAGTAGCATCAGCATCATCCTCATCGTTGTCAGCATCGTCATCATCAACAGCAGCATCAGCGGCATCAGCATCACAATCTTCATCACCATCTGCATCACCATATGTCTCACCTTATT